CAGATTCTTAATCACTGTGGCTTTGGCCCTGCTGTTTCCATGTCTCCACCCCTCCTGCTAGTCTTGTCATGGCTTCTTTACATCCTTCTTATAGGAATTCTGTTCAGTTAGTCTTCAGGTAGTTTTCAATGATGATTGTTCTGTAATTTAGTTTTCATTTTGAGGTGGTAATGACAGGAGGTAAGCACAGTGTTCACCTACTTTTCTTGACAAGAAAAATCTCAATATTTTTTCTTTATCTTTGATTTTTCTGCAGTTTGATATGATATGTCTAGGCATAGATTTTTTGACATTTATCCTGCTTGGTGTTCTCTGACCTACATCTATAGTTTTGTTTCTGACATTAATTTGAAAAATTCTCAGTCATTATTGCTTCAAATATTTTTTCTGTTTTTTTTTTTCTCTTTTTTCTTTTTTTGGCATTCCCAGTGCATGAATGTTACACCTTTTGTACATGTCCCATGTTTCTTGGACATTCTGCATTTTTCTTTTTCATTTTATAAGTTTCTATTGATATATTCTCAAGCTCGGAGATTCTTTTTTCACCTATGTCCAGTCTACTAATGGGCCCATCAACATCATTTTTTACTTTTGTTATAGATGGTTAGTTGATTTATGATAAGGCACGACTAATTTACTGTTGGAAAGATGGGTCAATTAGATATCCATATAGAAAAATATAAATCCTGACTACTACTTTATACTTTATACAAAAAAAACAATCCACAATGGGTTGTAGATCTACATTTGAAAACTAAAAGAATAAAGCATGCTATATAATACAGCAGCCACTAGCCCCCCTGTGGCTATTTAAATTAAATAAAATCAAATATTCATTTCCTCAGTCATACTAGACACATTTCAAGTACTCAATAGTCACATTAGGTTAGTGACTACTATGTTGATGGTAGAGATATAAGACTTTTCCATCATCACAGAAAGTTCTATCATATAGCTATATTCTAGAAGAAAATAAAACAATTTCTTGAGACAAAGAAAGAGGTAGGCAAAGGTTTCTTAAATAAAACATCAAATAGACTAACCATAAAAGAAAAGATTGATAAGTTGGACTTCATTGAATTAAGAACTTCAGTTCATCAAAAGATATCACTAAAGGAATGAAAAGATAAGCCACAGATTGAGAGAAGTCATTTATAAAACATATATCTGATAAAAGATGCATATCCATAATACATAAACAATTCCCACAAATCAATAAAAATAATACATTCTACTCCCCAAATGGGCAAAAGACCCTGCTTAGCTTCCAAGAGGAACTTCATAAAAGAAAATATCTAAATGGTCAATAAATAAATAAAAGACACTCAAGGGAAATGGGAATTAAAACCATAACAAGACACTCACCCACTAGATATGGCTAAAATTAAATTCAAACACAAGATAAAGTATTAGTAAGGATGTGGACAAAACTGGAGTGCTTAAACACTGCTAATGGAAGAGTGCAAATTGGTACCACCATTTTCAAAAACTGTTTGGCAGTACCTAAAAATAAACATATGCTCACCATGTGACCCAGAAATTCCTTTTGGACATATACTCAAAAGAGATCTGTGCTTACGTTGAGCAAAAGATTTGTAAAATAAAGTTCATAGCAGTATATTCATAAATAGCTGAAAATGATCTAATTATCCTCAACAGTGAAAATGGATAAATAATAAGTTATGGTATGGTTATATAATGGAATACTACTTAGTTTATCTATTTATCTATGTATCTACCTAAGTATCTATACATACATACATACATACAAACAAACCTACTGATACATGGGAAAAACATAAACTACCCTCAAAGACAAAATGCTGAATAGGAATACCTGCTGTATGGTTCTATTTATATAGTTTCGAAAAGAAGGCAAAATTAATCTATGATTATAGAAATTAGTTATTACCCTTGAATATATTCACTGGGAGGAGGCATAGGGAGTCTTCTGACAAGTAGAACATGATAAAGTGATGGGCTGTCACTTCTGAAAATAGATTATAAAAGATTGTTACTTCTCATCTTGTTGGCATTCTCTCCCTAACTGCTCTTGTATGCTTACCATAATAGAGAGGGCTACCTGGGAAGGAACTGAGGGCTGCCTCTGGCCAACAGCCAGCAGGGAATAGAGACTCTCAGTCAAATGACCTAAAAGAAACTAGATCCTTCCAACAACCACATGAGTAAGCTTAGAAGCAGCTCCTTCCCCAGTTCAGCCTTCTATGGGCCAACACTTTGGTTGCAGCCTTGAGAGAACCTGTGAAGCAGAGAACCCAGTGAAGCTGTGCTGTATTCTTGGCCCACAGAAACGATGAGATTGTATGTGCGTTAGTTATCTTAAGTCACCAAATTTTGGGGTAGTTGTTAGGCAACAATAGAAGAGGTGAGGGAAACAGAGAAACCAAGGATGGTTTCTACCTAATTTCTGGCTTAAGCAACTTATCTAGACACGTCAAAATTCCAGAGGGACAAATAGGTTACTCGGGTGGTGGTGGTGCGGGGGTGCAAATAAACAAGCATTTGATGTATTAGACATCCAAGTGAAAAATTGGGTGAGCCATAGATGTAGTCTCTGGAACATTTTCCTCATGACATTAGAGGTTGTACTTTCTTTATTTTTATTTTTTATTTATTATTATTTATGCCTACATCACCTGGTCTTCCTAGGTGGTCTCCTATCCAAGTATTAACTAGGCCCGACCCTGCTTAGCTTCCAAGATTAGACATCTGGCTTTGTTCAAGGTGGCACTGCCATAGATCATGGACTATGGCTTCACTGGAGCATGAACCCAGGACCTTCTGTGTGTAAAGCAGACATGCTAACCACCACTACACTATGGAACCACGTCCAGAGGTACTTTTCTACAAGCAAAGAAGTAAAATTCAAAACTTGAGTTTGGACTCAGGGAGGAGGTAAATTTGGCCTTTCTTTTTGCTTCAACAGGGTTTAAAAAAACAGAGTCTTCTGTTTGGTCAAGACTAGCTATTCCAAGTTCTACTTTTGTGTTTGAGGCCTAAATCCTAGCTACTAATCAAGTATTAATTTGCCTTATTTTATCCTTGTTGCATATGTCTCCTTGAGGAAGAAGAGAGGTGGCAAGTCAGAGTCTGGGAATTATTACTTCACTTGGCCACCTACCAACATAATAGTGACCATTTCTAAACCTGAAAGGCCTAAACATCCTGCCTTAGCCCAGCCCAGTGTTTCTCAACAGAGTCTCCACGCTGGCATTTGGCCCAGGACAATTTTTTGTCATGCTAGAGTGTACTGAGCATTGTAGAAGGTTAAGCGTATGCCAGTACAACCCTCCGGTCATTATGACAACCCAAAACATCCTTTCCACAGTTCCAGATGTTTCTTAGTGGGAAGGTACTTCACCTTCCTTGAGAATCAATGGATTGTTTGTGCTTACACACCAGCAATATCTGTCACCCACACTTTGAGCTTATACCCTACCATTTTCTAGGTGTCTGCTGAGCAAGAGTTTCCAGGTGTTTACATATTCTCATTCCTAAAACTTTAAATACGATGAGTTCTCAAAGAATTAAAATATAATCCTAATATGAGATTTGTTCATAATGTAATCAAATATAAATGATTTATAAGGCAATACAAAATCTTGTAGAAACTCTGAGACATTGTTATAACCAATATTGTTTGTTTTGTTGCCATGCAAAAAAGAGTCAGTAGAATGTTGGCTGTCAATTAATGGTGAATAATAAGAGGATGTGTCCTAATGCTTCAGATTTGTGACTGGGGATGCCCTAAAATATTAGTTGAGGAATTCTGGAAACTCCATCTGGTGATTGCGGCTGTTAAAGTCTCTGAAGAGTCCATTCTTACACTTGATTGTAAAGTTATTATTCTATCTCAAATCTATGTCAGAAAATAACATTTGCATTTATCCATGTATGGGAAGCTACATTTTATTGTGTTAGTTATCACAGAGCCTTTATTGGGCACCTTTTTTGAGCCAGGCACCGTGCTTTCAAAGACATTAATTAATTTAATGCTCACAAAATGCCTCTGTCCACAGAGGCATTCCCATTTTGCATGTAAGAAAATTAAGGCTCAGGAAAGTAGTGAAACTTGCTCAGCATCACCAAGCCAGTAAATGGCTGAGTCAGATTTCAAAACTAGACTTTGAAATTCATTCTATAAATTCTTTAGACTACATGGATCTGGATTGATTTTATCCAACATACATCTATCAAGTGCTGGGCCTTGCACTGGGCAGACAGGGCAGAGATGTCCCTTGCCTGACTGGATGCATAGATAGGTTAATGAGTGCTTGGACAGACAGATGGATAGAATTAAATAACGGGGACAATCCATGAACGAGGGAATCAGATGGAAGAGTGGATGGAAGTGGGAGGGTAAGTGAATGAGAGAGTAAATGAGGAAGTAAACGAGGGAATGGAATGGAATGGTATCAGAGGGAGAGAGGGAGGGAGGAAAGGAAGGAGTGAATGAGGAAGTGAGAGAACATTGAGGCTGCGCTACCTGAAACTCAAGTGCCGAGAGGCTGGCGGGTGGGTGGACGGGCGGCTACTCCACACAGTACGGTAGGCGCGGACCGCTCCTCCTCCAGCTTCGCTCGCGCCTCCTCCTCTCCCACCTCCTCCGCCTCCGCGGTCGCCCGCCCGCTCGCCTCCCAGTCCCCAGTCCCGTGCGGGCGGCGGGGAAG